ATGGATTTCGTCACAGGGTTACCGGCCGGGGCAAGTGGGAACGACGCGATCCTGGTCGTCGTCGATCGAGTGATGAAAATGGCACACTTCGCAGCCTGCAAAAAAACAATCACAGCCGAAGAAATAGCACGCCTCTTCATCTCCACCGTCGTTCGACTGCACGGGATACCAGCAGCGATCATCGGCGACCGAGACACGAAATTCACTAGCAACTTCTGGCGGAACCTGTGGCAACAATTCGGCACGCGATTACAGTTCAGTTCCTCATGCCACCCCAAGACCGAAGGACAGACAGAGAGGACAAATCAGACCATGGAACAACTCATTCGGGCCACGTGCGACGACCCCACCACTTGGGAACAACAACTGCCGCTCATTGAATTTGCGTACAATAACTCACCCTCCGCCACAACCCAACAGTTACCGTTTAACATGAATTACGGACAAGACCCGACAGTACCTATGACCCCGAATCCCGACAACCCGGTGCCACGAGCACAACAGTTCGCCGAAATTTTACAAGCAGCACGGATCTGGGCACCAAACGCAATAAAAAGATCGAACATCATCGCTAAACGTAATGCCGGCCGCCACCGCCGACCTGTTACTTACCAGCCTGACGACCTAGTTTTACTTGACACCCAGAACCTCCGCCTGCCCATCACCCCAAAACTTCGCCCCCGATACTGTGGACCATTCCGCATCAGCCACATGATTACGCCCGTCACCGCCCATCTCCTCCTCCCCGCTGACTGGTACGTCAGCCCGTCCTTCCACGTCAGCCTACTTCGCCCCTATATACCGTCCACAAGCCAACTGCCACGTAATCGCCCAGCCAGCATGACACGACCGCCGACTGAACCAATCATCACACCCAAGAAAATTCTGAGCCACAGAGTTCGTGACCCTCGAGGAGTCCAAAGTATCGAGTTCCTGATCCGCTAGAAAGACCGTACACCCACCGAAGACAACTGGGTTCCCCTGGACAGAGTCGAAAACCACCCCGTCTTCACGGAGTATCTGAGCAGCCGAAACTTCAGGGATGTACACGCGCTTTCGTAAGGAGGACCTCCTTTGGGGGGGGGAGGGGGGGGGGGGGGGGGGGGTAGTGTAAGGAATTTTTTTTTTCCTTACTTCGCGTCCCCGCTCAGCGCGTATACCACTGTAGCACCACAGTCAGCACCGTTACCACTCGCAACCCTCGCATCGACAATCCTCCGGCCACCTTCGCACGTCGCACTCCGACCTCACGGTTCGGTGGGTAACCCGCGCTCCGGGCCTCTGCTTCGACATTTTCCCAAACCTGAGTCCCAGGCCCGTCGCGCGACAACCACAGTCCATTACCGTTACCACTATTTTCGCTATATATTCTTCGTTCATGCCTTCACTCATTGTACTCTTGCTTCGATAGTGCGATTCTCGCATTACTCAATTGCACTCGGAACAAATGCTAAAAACACCACTCGTATTACAAGCTGTATATTCATTGTAACTTTAGAAGCGTTATCTATTCTATTTTTATTAATAAATTCTCATAGGAAGGCTAAGATGATACGGTTTGTTATATCTAGCCCCCGCATTATAGGCTATAACATTGGATAGTGTTTTTAGCATTGTATTGTGCAGTTCAATATCTTCAAGTTAGTAACCCTAAAACACTACTGTGACAGCTAGAGACGAGAGCGTTTGTTGGCTTGGAGAAGGTCGCACCAATCACCTCACCAGCCACGTGTATTCAGGCCAGACGTGATAGTCCTCGGTGTCTTCGAAAGAAGCACCTTCGTTGCCACGCCACTGACCATCTTTTGCCTCTGATTGGCCATGCACTTTCCCAACTGACGTGTTTGTCACTTTTGAACCGTAAGCCGTGAGGTCTTGCCAACTGTGCATATTCTTGATTTTACCTCACGAAACCACGGAAACACGTTCCCAAACGCTCTGTTACGTTGTGGAACCCTGCTAATATTCCGATATCTTTCAGAAACACCTCTGCTGTATCTTCTCCGCAGAAACACCTCTTCCATGTCACCCGCTTTCTTTCGGATTCAGCCGCTTTTTCTCGAATTCGCCACTGCCTCCTCGCCACATTCCGCCTTTGATGGCCACATTCGTTGGTATCGTGCCTCTTTTTGCAACCATGTCCGTCACAGCAGATCGCTATTGTTCATTCAGTAACGAAACCTAGTTTCGACTAGCTACAGTTACTTCGTAGAAGACTCTCGATCGAAGTCCTCTGTCAGCTGGCATCATGCGAACGTCCGCAATATGCGGCGGCGAGCGCGCGAGGCTGCTAGTTAGCCTTCCGAGCTCGAGCAGAATAGCGGGAGTCGCAGCCGCGGGTCAACTGTATGCGGATCCACTGGGATTATTCCAAATAATACGGTTACGATCGTCAAATAACAACTTCCGGAAAGGCCGCCACGGGTTCTCGCCTAGCGAAAACGGCTCGGCTAGTATCCACCTGTCAGGCCGGGATAGGCTGTTCCGCGGCGCGTCTGCTCAGAGCCGGCACTGGGACTGGGTGGAGAACAATCCTGGCGGTGATACTCCTTTTAGCGACAGCGATAGAGACGGCAATCCCTATGGCCCTGGCAATGCCTATCGCCTAAGCGATTCCGATGGTGACCGAAGATATTCCAGTGGTGATGATAAAGCCTATGGCTCCGGAACAAGCTATGATCAGGTTTCGCTGCGCGCCGATGCCAGCAGGTCGCCCATGATCCCTCACGACGTCGCCAAGGCTCTCGTGGACAGCTTGGCGAAGACTCACGAAAACTCTCGCGATGGGGATGACGATGTTGAAATCGAAGTTGAATCTGAAGCTGAGATTGATTTTGTGAGTGATAGTGATGACAGCACAGCGGAAGGAAACACCGAGAGCGGCGGTGCTTACAGCGACAAGTCGGCTGCTGAAGTTGAAGCATCTCGAAAGCCGGCGCAAGTTGACGTTCAGGTACCGGCTACAGGACAAGGAGATCCGCAGAAGCCAGCTCGTACGAACAGGAGCAGTAACAGTAACCATCGCGCTGGTAACCACCGTAAAGGATCCGAGATCCACTCTGGGCATATTAGAAGCAGTGAAGAGGAGGTGGCGCTGAGTTCCTGGAGCTGGCCTGCTGAGTCAGCATTTGCTGACTCAGCATCTTCTCGTGACACGTCATCCGATTCTGCGGGCAGCGGCGAGGCAGTGGTGGTGCGACAGCTGGCGTTTAACGGTTGGTCGTCTGAAGTGGTTCGGGTTGCCCGGCCTGGACCACCCGCTTGGCGTCGAAAGGCGCCGATCACAAGTGAGTTGGTTCTGGTTCTGGTGAATGTGATGGTTATCGTAATGCTGTGATGGTTATCGTAATGCTGTGATGGTTATCGTAATGCTGTGATGGTTATCGTAATGCTGTGATGGTTATCGTAATGCTGTGATGGTTATCGTAATGCTGTGATGGTTATCGTAATGCTGTGATGGTTATCGTAATGCTGTGATGGTTATCGTAATGCTGTGATGGTTATCGTAATGCTGTGATGGTTATCGTAATGCTGTGATGGTTATCGTAATGCTGTGATGGTTATCGTAATGCTGTGATGGTTATCGTAATGCTGTGATGGTTATCGTAATGCTGTGATGGTTATCGTAATGCTGTGATGGTTATCGTAATGCTGTGATGGTTATCGTAATGCTGTGATGGTTATCGTAATGCTGTGATGGTTATCGTAATGCTGTGATGGTTATCGTAATGCTGTGATGGTTATCGTAATGCTGTGATGGTTATCGTAATGCTGTGATGGTTATCGTAATGCTGTGATGGTTATCGTAATGCTGTGATGGTTATCGTAATGCTGTGATGGTTATCGTAATGCTGTGATGGTTATCGTAATGCTGTGATGGTTATCGTAATGCTGTGATGGTTATCGTAATGCTGTGATGGTTATCGTAATGCTGTGATGGTTATCGTAATGCTGTGATGGTTATCGTAATGCTGTGATGGTTATCGTAATGCTGTGATGGTGTGATGGTGTCTGGTCCTTCCCCTGTCATCCTCCTCTCATCCTCCTCTCATCCCCCTCTCATCCCACACCCTTCCGCTCACGCCTCTTCTGATCGCCTCCCTGTGGTGTGGTGCTATCCCCTTTCCGCTCCCCTCCCGCCCCGATTCCTCAGAGCCTCTTCTGGTCGCCTCTCTGCTGTGCGGTGCCGTGCTGCTGTACCGAGGGACTCTGAGCGACAAAGGTGCGTATGGGAGTGGTGAACCAGAGAGTGCATGAAGCTTGTGAAGGCAGAGCAGGGATTGACCAGACGAGGGGTGGGTGGGGAGGTGGAGACGGAGGGGCTGGAAGCCAAGGCGGAAAAAGATGGAATGGGGGTGGATCCAGCATAGCGCTGTGCTTGGAGCCCCAAACGGGAGCCATAGTCTTTACGTGGCAGCAACTGATTCAACTTGTAGAATTCATTGTTACTGAAATGTTTGCTAGAAGTCTCTCACGCGTTTTCTTTCTTTCTTTCTTTCTTTCTTTCTTTCTTTTTTTTCTTCTTTTTTTGGCTTTTCTCAATTGAGTGTTGCGATGCAATGAACCCACAGTAAGCCTCGCCCTCTCGTGCGACACCCATGCTTTCGTTTGAGTGCCTTGTTCACTTCACACCATCGTGTCTCTCCCTACAGGCATCCCTCTGCTACACTCACATCGTGATTCAGTCACCACCGTCAGCGCTCATGAAGGTGAAACAACTTTTTCTCTCGATATAACCACCTCCCATTAGCAGATTTCAATTCTGATTATCTTTTTGTAGGCTGCTGCCCGCTGTTCGAGATTTCAACAGAGGAAGGGAATGTCCAGCTCTGATGTGTTATAGTTTGCCGTCTCCTTTTGTATGAGTCTGACTTGAACAACCAAATTCTGTGTGCACACTGGAGAAAGCGCACTGGAGAAAGCGCACTGGAGAATAGGAATAGAACAAGCACGTTCTAATGTGTTCTCCCAGTGTGCTTGCTCGTTCCATCCTGGTAGATATGTCATCCCAAGACACTGATCAGGGGAGGCGAGGGCTGAAGGCAGGTGCAGAAGCAGCAGAGGGGGAGGCGGTGGAGGGAGGAGAGGAGAACAGGAGAGAAGGAACGGGGGAAGAATCGAGTGAGGGAGAGAGTGTGAAGGAAGACGGGAGGGGAATCGGAGAGGGAGAGGGGGGGAGTGCGGTGGGGGAGGGGGGGGTGACAAAGGGTATGGGTGCTGGGGGATGGAGAGGGGTGGTGGTGGGAAGAGGGAGGGAGGAGAGGATGAGGGTGGTGGTGGCGCCTCATGTGAACCCGGAGCATGCCCGCATGCTGGAAGGACTGAAGGAGCTTCAGGTGAGATAGGGACTCCAGAGTGATTGCAAGCAAGGTGAATGACGTGAGTCGACTCAAAACACGGCTGGAAAGGGGAAGTGGAAGAGGATGCGAATGGTGGTGCTGCATCATGTGAGCCCGGAGCATGCTTGCATGTTGGAAGGACAGAAAGAGCTTCAGGTAAACCCAGGGAGGTGGCTTACAGAGTTGGCATGGAAGGGGGAGGGAGGAGAGGATGAGGGTGGTGGCACCTCATGTGAACCCGGAGCATGCCCGCATGCTGGAAGGACTGAAAGAGCTCCAGGTGAGGGCTTGCACACGGGCGCAGCAGAAGAATTACATAGGGAAAGGATGCACAAGGATGCACAAGGATGCAAGGGTGTAAGGGTGGTGTAAAGGTGGTTACACAAGGATGAAGCCATTCATCTCACCTCAAGGAGCTCTTGAGGTGATGTTATCCGGCTAGAAGTCTGTTTTCGAGACACCTCAAAAACAGGCACCTATGAAATAAAACGTGTTTCTGTGGCGCCTCGAAAACACAAACAGGAAGTATGCAAGGGTGATTACACAAGCGTGACTGATCCGACTGAAAGGGCGATATCGTCATCGAGAAACTTTTGAGAACGGGAGGCGCATCATAGGTGTTTGGGAGTTTTTGAGAATTTTCTAGAAATCTCAAAAACTCCCTGCAACGTAAAGGGAGGCGCATCATAGGTGTTTGGGGGAGGTGGGGGGTGCTCGCATGTGAAAATTCTTCCTGTAGGTTTGGATTGTGTAGGTGAGTGTGTAGAGGGAGTGTGCAGAGGGAGTGTGTGAGTGTGTAGGTGAGTGTGTAGAGTGAGTGTGTAGAGTGAGTGTGTAGAGTGAGTGTGTAGAGTGAGTGTGTAGAGTGAGTGTGTAGAGTGAGTGTGTAGAGTGAGTGTGTAGACTGAGTGTGTAGAGTGAGTGTGTAGAGTGTGTATTTCTGTAAGTGGGTGAAGCTCTCCTAACCAAGTGCAGACTAGCCCTACCAAGTATGTGGGACGAGTGATAACTGTTTGTTTAGAACCGGATTTATAAATCCTCCTCTCTACTCCTCCTCCCCATGCTCCCACCAACCAATCAGGTGATAGATGCTGACGTGGCACCAGCTGGCATATGCACGAGGAGGGAGTTTGCCACGTGGCTGATGGCTTTCAGTGAGAAGCTCTCAGCCTCGCCCACCGATAGGGTGTATCCCGCCATGTTTATAGAGGGGATATCGGAGCAAGCCTATGCTGACGTGGCACCCGATGACCAGGACTTCGCCGCCATTCAAGGTGAGTCTTCTCTTTATTTTGAACAAGCTTTTATCAGCACCCCCATTTCAATCACACTTGTTGCTATCAACCCCGATGCTATCGCCATCGTTGCTTCCAGATATCCTTTCTGTTCAAGGTTGATGTTCCCTATCATTCCTTTCTACACTCGTTGCTAGCAACCCTTGTATCACGGTGTTTCATTCACCCCCCATCCCTCTCCCATGTCAATTCCTCATCTTTTCCATCCCATCGTGCACTCCTATCCCATCCCTCCTCTCCTCTGCCATCCCATCGTGCACTCCTATCCCATCCCTCCTCTCCTCTGCCATCCCATCGTGCACTCCTATCCCATCCCTCCTCTCCTCTGCCATCCCATCGTGCACTCCTATCCCATCCCTCCTCTCCTCTGCCATCCCATCGTGCACTCCTATCCCATCCCTCCTCTCCTCTGCCATCCCATCGTGCACTCCTATCCCATCCCTCCTCTCCTCTGCCATCCCATCGTGCACTCCTATCCCATCCCTCCTCTCCTCAGCCATCCCATCGTGCACTCCTATCCCATCCCTCCTCTCCTCTGCCATCCCATCGTGCACTCCTATCCCATCCCTCCTCTCCTCTGCCATCCCATCGTGCACTCCGGGATCTTATTCTCTGATTCCTGCTATTCTTTCCGTACCTCTCGCACAGGTCTGGCCGAAGCTGGCATTCTGCCCAGCCTGTTGGGTCGGAAGGACGAGGCGGGAGGGGCAGCGGCAGGGGAAGGTGCAGGGGAGGGTGAGGCGCTATTCCGGCCAGACAGGTGAGTATAAGGGACGGACGATTGTAAGACACACTGCCGTGACTGCTTTTGAGACAACCGATTGTGAGGAACACAGGCTTTCGCTGCTTCTGAGACATGTCCAAGGGGTAAGGTGCAGGGGAGGGTGAGGCCCTATTCCGCCCAGACAGGTGAGTATAAGGGACGGGCGATTGTGGAAGTCAGGGAGTTGTTGCAAGTGCAGTGTCATATCACTTAACATGCAATCTCTAGCCATGTGTGGGAGGGAGGTTGCGTTGGGGCGACTCATCGAGTGCCTTGTGAGGTGCTACCGATTTCCAGAAATTAAGGCAGATGGTTTGCAGCGCGGGTGCATGCTCCTACCCGACGCAGAATTGATTGATTGATTGATTGATTGATCGATCTTGTTCCTCCTGCCTTTCCTTGTTGTTAAGAAAGGCCAGTGCCTCACTTGCCCGAGTTGTCTATCCACCTCTTTTTGAGGCGCCTCAGAAATAGACTCCCTTGCATGAGTTGACTATCCACCTCTTGACTCCTTCTCTATGAGAAGGATTCTCTAAAAATGAAATTACTTCACCTCTTACCTTTCTCTTTCCCATCTCCTGTCCCTGTTGTCTCTTGCGTGCGTGCACCAGTCCCCTCACCCGTCAGGATCTGCTGACGTGGCGCTTTGCTCTGGAGTATTCCCACCTCCCGCCGCCCGACCTTGCCGCCCTGCGCCACACATGCGGGCTCATTGACGCCGCCCGAATCTCCCCTGCCGCCCAAAGAGCCGTCTCTTTTGATCTCCTGCATCACAGGGGGGGCATGGAGCACCAACCAGAGGGGGAAGAGGAGGGTTGGGGGCAGGCCGGGGGTAAGGGGCTGGGGGAGGGGCAGGGGAGGGGGCAAGATTTCAAATCTGCTACTAATGCGGCTGTTATTCCCTTGGTGTTCGGTAATGTTCGTCGGTTTGACCCCTTAAAGCCTGTTACGCACGCGCAGGCTGCTGCGGCGCTCACGTTCGGCCGAACCTATGAGACGGTGAACGAGGCTGCGGTTCGGGTGGAGGTGGCGGAAGCTCGGAAGGAAGCTGACGTGGCGAGGCAGGAGGCTGAGTCAGCAAAGCGGGAAGCAGCACAATTGGCCGAGGAGATGGAGAGAGTGAGAAGAGAGGAGGAGGAGGGAGTGAGGAGGGAGAGGGAAGAGCGTGAGTGTGTGGAGAGGGAAAGGGACTCACTGAGGGAAGAGGTAGAGAGATTTAGAGCTGAGGCTGGAAGGTATAGCAGCAGTGGAGATGATGAGGGTGGAGGGAAAGTTAGTACTGCAAGTGGGGGGCTGGAAGGAGAGGAGACAGAAGGGGCGAGTGGGGTGGCAGGCGAAGGGGAGCAAGGTTTCGGCAGCAAGAGGGAGGCAGGAGGAGGAGGAGGTGCGGGTGTGGAAGGTAGCGCTTCTGATGGGACGGAGGAGGGCAGGTGAGTTGTGCTTTGGATGGGATGGTTGTGCCACTGCTAGCATTGCAAGAAGGGGGGATTGGAAGGCAGCAGGAGGAGGTGCGAGTGTGGAGGGCAGTGCTTCTTATGGGACGGAGGAGGGCAGGTGAGTTACTTTCGAGAATCTGCATATGGGTTTGTCAGTGAGGGGGAGGTGGGAGGAGGAGGTGCGGGTGTGGAAGGTAGCGCTTCTGATGGGACGGAGGAGTGCAGGTGAGTGGTGCTTTGGATGGGATGGTTGTTCCTGCTTGTATTGCAGCAGAGAAAGTCAGAATTCAGAAGATATGTGGGAGACATGTGAGTGTGGCGTATTCGTCACCTCTCCCCACCCAAGATGGGTGGATTTGGTGGATTGGTTCCCGCGGGATGGTGGGTGGGTTCGATCCAACAGAGAGCACAGCACAGCAGGCACAGCACGGCACCACCAGCAGATCGTCTCCTGTTTCCATTTCAGAATGCATTTCCATTCCCTCCCTTCTTACTCTCGCTCTCTTTTCCTTCATTGCACCCCCCCCCCCTTGCAGCATCCAAGAACCTGCTATTCTCCCCCCGGGCTGGTGGGCGGAGTTGATTCAACAGAGAGCAGAGGAGGCGAAACACGGCGCTGCCAAGAATCTGGTAAAAATCAAAGAGCGTTCTGCTGACGTGGCGTCCAGCCTGGCTGCCAGCGTGGCGGACGGCAGCTTGCAGCGGTCGTTGAGTAAAAGGGCCGAGGAAGCTGCCAGGAAGGTGCGGGGGCTACAGGGTGCTGATCTGAAGGAAGGTGCGAGGATGGTGCGGGAGCAAGTGGGAGGGGAGGTGGCGAGGAGGATCGAGGGAGTGAGGGAGGTAGGGGAGAGGATGGTGTCAATGGGGAGGGAGGAGGCAAGTAGAATGGTGAGGGTGGGTAAAGGGGTGATGGACAGGGGGGTGAGGGAGATACGGGAGAAAGCAGGGTACAGGTGGGCTGCTGGGAGGGCTGCTGGGAAGGCTGGCAGCAGGGGTTCTGTTGGCTCTGCTACTGCTGCTGCTGGTGCTGGTGGTGGTGGTGTGAAGAAGCAGTGATCGAGCATTAGGGATTGAGCAGCCTATCCAAGCGGGGTACAGATGGGCTGCTGGGAGGGCTGGCAGCAAGGGTTCTGTTGGCTCTGCTGCTGCTGCTGCTGCTGGTGGTGTGAAGAAGCAGTGAGCAAACCTCAGGGCATGAGCAGCATATCGAAGCGGGGTACAGATGGGCTGCTGGGAAGGCGTTTGGTAGTGGTTCGATTGGCTTTGCTGTGACTGCTGCTGCTGCTGGGAGTGTGAAGGGGCAGTGAGCAAGCATCAGGGCTTGAGCAGCCTATACCTAGCGAGAGACAGATGAGCTGCTGGGAGAGTGGGCAGCAGAGGGTCCATAACCTTTGCTGTGGCTGCTGCTGCTGCTGCTTCTGTGGAGAAGCAGTGACCAGAGTGTTTCCTTCTCACATTAACCTGTGTGGACTAGGGTGGGCTCTAATGTGAAGCTCCCTGTGTTCCGGTGTAGGGTTACAGTGCGGTGGAAATGGGCACAGGTGGGCAGCTGGTAGCTGTAGACTCTCGACACACCTGGCATTATAAAATACATGTTAACACTGAAATGTTTGACGCTTCATGTAAGGTACAGTACCAGCTGTCAGAATAGCCTTAGTCTTAGGAACCCTAGGCTAGAGTGGAGAGAGAGATTAGCGAGAAAAGAGGGGTTCTCACTATAGCACAGGTACAAGACATAGCAAGCGCAGGTGGCGAAGGGAGGATCACCACCAATAGAAACATTTCGACAGTGATATTACACTAACTATATTGTATGTAGTTGCGTATAATATACAATTCTTGACACCAACCTGACAATTCTCGCATGTAGTAATTGCTGTAACGCTTATGTGTTTTGAAAGCGAATCTGCTTGTAATGTAGGAACGGGCAACGTTGAACCGCACTAATCGCGAGTTTTGGTGTACGAAACCCATTGAAATGAGACAATGTCAATTACTACATGCGAGAAAGCAAGCTTTTCTAAATATGCACGTAAGTCAGCCAAGTTTTTGGCGATGCACGTAATCGCCACCAGTGACTCTTGTTTAGCATAGTTTTTGCAAGATATATTATTCTTGTTACGAATAGTAATACTTGAACATTACTGTGCACTCCTCACCGCAGCAAAGAGAAGCACGCAGTATCGCGAATGAACGCGAAGCGTCAGACGGTTGGAACGCATCTGAACCGTCGGAGCAGACAACATCAGGCAGCTGCAGGCAGGATGGTTTCGGCGGGAACAGTTTCGTAACTGTTCGCGCCGCACAGTTGGGAATGTATTTGAATAAAGGAATGTACCCCTTAGAGTACATGGCTAGCTAGGTCGATTCATATTCCCATGTACTCTTATTTATATCGTTGTATTTGCATGTCTTAATCATCTCAAGCATTTACATTCACTCTGCTATTAAGGTCAAGGGCCCACCAACACTTCTCTGCGTGCGAACCTTCCTGAGTAGATCCTAAGCCACGATCAACTTCTGATCGCAGCATGGTATGAGAGCGACTCAGGAATCCTTCGCACCGCCATCTCCGAAGTCTGCGACATTCGGAAAGTGGTGTCTGGCACACGATCACGTGTAAGAATGGCCGGAGGATCTGGAGGTCAGACAAATCTGACGGCTGAAGCGCAGCCCAACCGAGCTGCGACAAACGAGGAAACGACGACGATTCCCTCCGCCGTCCTTGCACAACTGCTTCAGCGACTCACGAGCCTGGAGCAAGGGCTCCAGACATTGCGGAATGGCGATGCGGGAACTTCTTCCCAACCCACTCAACCGGCCCCAAACGGCCAAAACTCCGCCCCGCAAGGCTTCTCCCTAGATACGAACGGCTCAACCCCCAAGATTCCTTGTCCCAGCCATGAAGCAATTCTCTCCGCGCAATCAAGGTTTTTGAGCATATAAAAAATAAAGACAAGTGTGTGCTTTGACGGCAGAGACTTTTGTGAAAATGAACGAGAATGAATGCACTATGAAATAGTTGGGTACAAGTACTAACCCTAATTGAGTTGTACCCCATATAGGCTACCCCACTACAGCCTACACAAAAGCATAAGCTATAATGTTCTGACACACCTCCATAGGCAAAGTGGGGGAGTACAAGGGGTCACAAGACCAGTCAAGCAAAGTAAAGCAAAGCAAGCTCAGGGTGGATCACAAAGTCACCACACATTCTGAGCACAAGGTCAAGGCCACAAGGCCAGTTCACATGCAGGAGTACATATATATATAAAAAGCTAGACAAGCAAGAGTAGGTGTATATATATATGTAACAGTACAAGCAAGGTTAAGAGGTGAGCAAGTGAGGCAAGGAAGGCACAAGACCCAGCTGAGTACAGAAGCGCTGATGATCACAAGGCGCAAGCGCCTTGGTGAAGATATCAGCATTGTTGGCCTCAGAGGCCACGTACGCAAGACGCACCTGACCACGCTGCTGCAGCTCACGAACAAGGAAGTAGCGGAGAGCAATGTGCTTCGTTCTGTGCTCCAGTCTCTGCTCTCGACACAAGGCCAGCATGGCCTTGTTGTCTACGTACAGCACTGGAGGAGAACGAGGCGGCTCTCCGAGGTCAGTCAGCAGGTAGGTGAGCCAGCGAAGCTCCTGTGCAGCCATGGCCCCGGCGTAGATCTCAGCCTCACAACTGGAGCCGAGAACAGAAGACGAGCGGGTAGCCCGCCACGAAACAGAGCCGGAACCAAGGCTGAAGGTGTAACCCTGTCACGACCGCTGCGTAGCCTGGTCGTCAGCCCAATAAGCGTCAGCGTGCCCAATGAGGACCACAGGACTCTGCCCTCCAAGCACAAGCCCCATGCCTGACGTACTGCACAAGTAGCGCAACACCCTCTTCGCTGCAGCCATGTGCTCCGGTCTGTGTCTCCCAGGAGCAACATAGCGTGCGAGAATGCTAAGAGGGTATGCAAGGTCAGGTCGAGTGCAGGTCATCAGGTACATGAGGCAGCCAACAAGCTCTGCATACGGGCCACTCGACTCTACGGACTCATCCGAAGGCAGAGCTGAGAGCGAGTGGCGAGTAGGCAGAGGAGTGGCCTGAGGTGAGGAGTACGTGAAGCCGAAGCGCTGAAGGACCTGCTGCACCATGTGTGACTGAGTCAGGGTAATGGTGCGGCGTGCTCTGTCCCGGGTGATCTGCAAGCCAAGGTAGCTACGCAGTTCACCCAGGTCTGTGCACGTGTGTCTCTTCTGCAGCTCGGACTTCACGTGGGCGAGTCCAGCAGTGTCAGCTGTGGCAAAGACCAAGTCGTCGACGTACACGAGGATGTAGAACGGCGGCAAAGAAGTGTCGGTGCGCAGAAACAGCGACAGGTCGGCAGTAGAGGGAGCAAACCCAAGAGCCGCAAGTGTAGTCCTCAGTGTGTCCTGCCACTAACGCGGTGCCTGGCGGAGACCGTAGACTGGCCGCCGGAGGCTCCACTAGGTGCGAGGAGGAAAAGACCAAGTGAAGCCAGGTGGGCAGAGCAGCCAGATCTCCTCGTGCAAGCTGCCCTGCAGGAAAGCTGTGCTGAAGTCAAGAGAGTGAAGCTCGTAGTCACGGTGAGCAGCTATGTGCAGCAGTACCCGAAGAGTGGTCATCTTCGGGGTGGGAGAGAAGGTCTGAAAGTAGTCAACTCCCTGCCGCTGACTGAAGCCATGAGCCACGTAACGCGCCTTGAAGACAGGCGGAGAACCCGGCGGCCGCTTCACCCTGAAAATCCACATGCCACTGATGATGTTCGCCCCAGGCGGGGGAACCTCGTCAACGTAGGTGCCTATGGACTTCCAGGAAGCCATCTCTGCGTCCATAGCTGCCTGCCACTGAGAGGAGTAGGGACCCTCTATCGCCTCCGCGTAAGAGCGCGGAGTCGGGATGTCAAGTGCATCCGGGTCTCCCTCAGGGGTAAGCAGTACGGACACGAGATGAGGTGAAGCAGTAGCCAGACACTGGAACTCCTCCTGCCTGTCCTCAAGGACGTCCGTGCCAAGGGCACACTCACCCCCGACGGACGGAGGACAGACAGACTCAGACTCAGCAACAAGACTGGCGGCGTAGTCTAGGCAACAGCGAGCAACAAAGTCGACGAGCTGAGCAACTAGGGCAGACGCAGCAGTGGACTCAAAAAAAGGGTCAGTGACAACAGTAGCAAGGAGACGCGTGACAGTAGGACTGGCAGCACGAAGAGAGTCCGACTCCGGGTCGGCAAGAGCAGGAAGAGAAGACTCAGGAGGAGAAGGTAAAGAGGCACGCAGAGGAGCAGTGGACGGACGCAGAGACATCCGGTGCGTGCCAGGGACAGGAGGAGGACGCTGACGCGAACCGCGACCACTAGTGCGAGCAGCACTGACAAGCAACGCAGGGCGAGACGCAGGCTCACGACGCTCAGCAAGACCTCTAGTAGGACCAGTGTAGGGAGACGGAGCAGGCAGTGGGGAGGCCGGCTGTAACTGTAACTGTGACGGGACAGGCTGTGGACACTCGAAGGGAGGAGGAGGACCAGTAGAAGACGGGAGACCAAGAACCTGCTGAAGGAGCGGAACGAAGTACGGCCAAGGCCGCGCGGCGACTTCAGACACAGCAGGGACAGCACCAGTACACCCAGCGGCAGCACCAGCACCAGGAGCACCTCCAGCTCCAGTACCTCCAGCAGCACCAGTAGCACCCCCTTCAGGACCGCCTCCAGGACCGACAGCAGTAGCCTCGGAGCCAACACCCGCAGCAGCTCCAACTCCAGAAGTACCCGCAGGCCCAGCAGCTCCAGTACTCCCTGTACGAGCACCTCGGGTACCCGCGGCACCATCATCCTCAGCAGCAGTAGAACCTCCAGTACCCGCAGCACCTCCAGCTCCAGCAGCTCGCCTCCAGCGCCGGGCAAACCATTCACGCAGCTCCTGTGGAGAGAGTGGCTCACGGCGAGACGAGGCACCCGGAGAACCGCCAAGCACAGCACCGCCAGACGCCACACGAGCAGGCCCAGCTCCCTCAGGCTCAGCACCTCCAGGCTCAGCACCTCCACGCGTA